TATTTTAACATCAATATTATCTTTTTCTTTTGTATCTCATGAAAAAAATTCTTTAAAAACAATTAGTAAATTGTTTTAATAGCATAGTCAAACAACTTTAGAAGCTTATAAAAAATTGTTTTTTAATAATAATAATAATAATAACAATCAAACTGATATTATCTAATGAGAATAAACAATTGTTCATAATAATAAAATCGTTAATTTATTTTTTCTAATGATCAAATTTTTGAAAATGTAATATGTTCATTATCTAGAATTTTAATATTAAATTCTCAAATATTACTTATAATATTTTATGTACATATGTGCATGTGCACAGAATATCTACCAGTATGTATAACACCTAGCAGGTGACCTATCTCAACTACTTACTACCCTAAAATGCAACTCCAAATACTCAATTCTCATCAAATGGGCTTAAATTGACCACTCAGCCAACGTTCGAGTATTCCATATCAGCCCAGTTAGGATATTATTTACACCTAGAATAAAAAATAAATAAAAAATAAAAATAAAATAAAATGAAATTAATGTATTGCGTGTGTGGCACTTAGAAGGTGACCTATCTCAACTTCCATTGACTACTAAAATGGGCTCAAAATGTCCACTAAACCAATCGCCAGAGGTTTCCAAATCAGCCCACTTAAAAGAAAGGGAGATGCCGTAGTCTTTTTACGGAATCATTCAGTTAGAGTTTGTAACCGTTAGATCAACTATTCTCGATGGTTACATAATGATAACGGTTACAAATCTCGACAGAATAATTTCGTAAGACCGTAGTATTTTTCTAAAAGTTATTCACAGTTTAATATCACTATTAATGTTTTTCGCTTTTCTCTCACTTACAAATTACAATGCTTATCCTTGTCATATTCCCGCGTTAAACTTTTCAGAATATTGACCAAGGAATAGAGATTAAAAATTGTCCATAACTCCATATCAATATCTTGTATCATCTTATTATTAATTATTAAACCTTATTAATGAACTTAGCGCTCGAATCAAAGATTGCCTCGAGCCCAAACGAGCACGATTCAAATTTGAGCACTTAAATTTGAATTCGAGCCTACATGTTGTTAGCTCAAGCGCTCACGATCTGCTTGAATATATAACTGTAATTTACCTTAACTATATATGACTCGAGCTAAACTCTAGCCAAACGTAAATTAAGATCGAGCAAAATTTGGATTGATAAAATTCAACAAAATCTCGATTATGTATATATTTTTATTGAGCAAACCAAGCCATAGAAAATCGAGCTCAAACAACAATGAAAACTCGGCTAGATTGAACTAATGCTCGACTGGTTAAAGTT